CAGTCAGGAAAAAAGAATTGCCAAACTTGAGCAGCAGTTGTCTAAAATGGACATCTAAAAGGACCCTGAAATTCCTTCCCCTTCTATTCAGGATATCCCATTGGCCAGGTGGGCGGGACCCGTCACTGCCAATCACCATGACAGCGTTCCGTCTGAAACCTGCCTTGAAAAGACTCCAACCAACATTCCAACATTTTTTTTTTTTTCTTCTTTTTTTTGCAATCCCTAAAACCTGTTTATACCTCATGGCCATTTGGAAAGCAAGAAACTCCTTCAGTTTCTCAAAATTTGACCCGTTTAGCTTTTTACTCAATCTCACTCCAAATCTTTCTGCAACAGCTGTGTTTTATCTGGTGTTCTTGAAAGGTCTTAAGAATTTTGTTTTGTTTTTCTTATTAAAAATTGTGAACCAAAAGATTGCATCCTGAAGCAGTTACATGAACTTGATGAGCTCAAAGTTTGAAGTAGCCATCAGTATTGCAGTTCCCCTCTCGCCCTCTGAGTTGCCAAATTTATAGAGGAGTTATGCACCTCCCTGACAGTATTTGACTAGATTTTCATTTCTTTCTTATAAGGGACAAAGCAATATGCTAGTATGCAAGGAGGGGAGATCATTGGAACCATTCATCATTGTTATACGTGTCTTTCTAGAGAATAAAATATAAAATAAAAAACCTGGCAAACGTGGAGTTGAAAAAGTTTACAAACCAGTACTGGAAAACAATACAGGTGCACTAAAATATTCCACTAGAGGACTTCTTTTGTTAAACAGGTACCAATGTAAAAGTATTAAGATATTAATTAGCAAAATAATCAAAATAATTGTGGTTCTGGTGGTTGCTATGAACACAGCCAATGTGTACTCTGCTCACAACTCCAAACATTTTCTTGTTGGCAAAAGTTACTCATCGTAATGGTAATACAAGCAAATTGAGTCAGTTTTTCCCCTTTCTTGTTTCCACGTATCTGAACTTTTCTTCAGTCTTATTCTGTTTGAAGCCTGAATGAAGCCAGAAACCGTGTGGGTCTCATTTTGTAAACTCTAGAAAGTCTCAGCTTCTAGTTTCACGTCCCAAAACATGATGATATAAACTCAGAACAAGATAACGCCCATAGATGTTCAATAGCTTTAGCAGCAAAACTTTGTTGCGCCATTCATTGCTTTACCGGCTTGATAGCTTTGACCCTGACTTTGTTCTATTCAGATGTCATTCAGGTCTAAGGAACACTGTTAGGTTTGCTTTGCTTTCTCATGAATTCCTACAAACCTCATCTTGAGTTGTGCCGTCCACACTGTCTCAGAAACCAAGCTTGTTTGAGTCTCAACAGCTTTGTCTGTACATACTTTTGCTGTGCATTTTAGACTGTGACTACCAGCAAAATAGTGAGTCATGATTAACTTCCTTTTCCTAAGTTCTAAGTCTACCTTGCTCTCCTAACCAAGCAGAACCAATTCTCTCAAGGGGCAGCTCACGTCTAGATGATGATTTCACGAACGTTTGAGTTGATGGCAAGTGGCTTTTTTTGTTTGGTTATGTACTGGTCATGCCAGGAAGAGAGGAAACTGATTCTGTTGTTCAGATTGCTTTGGCTACATCCTTCGTCAGAGCGTTCTCTTGTGGTTTTCAGTTTGACGCTTCTACATATCTCATTTCTGTTTGCATCACTGCCTAGTGCCTCTTTCATAGGTTCTGAAAAGCACCTTCCCTCCTCTGCATGCCTTTTAGCCTAAAATAGCCACCATCTTCTCACCTCAGAACCATCACCTGACCTATAAGAATTTCATTTGAAACAGATCTGTTTGCATCAACAGCAACAACTCAATACCTCTGATGTCATTCTCACGCTTTTGCTTTCTCTCTTTTTTGGTGAAGTTTTAAAGTGAAGGGTTTGAAAATGTAGGGGCCGTGTTTATGGGTACAGATGTGCCAAGCTGGATCAACTTCAGGAGGTGTGATGGTTCCATATTGAGTGTTTAAGTGGCCTCAGGAGGCATCTGTGATGCAGCCTCGAGTGTGTGGTTTCAAAGGAGTGAATGATTGAAGTGAAAAGGGATTTATGGAGGTTGAAATGATAATGCAGGATGAAGGCTGGATGTAAGTGATTTGTTTAGATGCTTTGTAAATATGTTTTCTTTTTTTTCCTTTACATGTTTTCTTTGGCTGTAGGAAGGTGTTTGTCCATCATTTGGATTTTCTCATGATTTTAAATAAATTTCCCATTTTCCCTCAATATGCACACTGTGAGCCTTTAATGTTTCCAATGATAAAATGAAATTAGAATTGAAAGGAAGGAGAACTAGAAATTCAATTTTGCGCATAACTGTTCCATTTTTGTTCATTCATCTGCTTCAAGTATAAAGAGTCTTACTGATTACCAGAAAATAAAAAAATAAACTGAATTTTTGGCCTTTGTCTCTTTTTTTTCTCTAATTAGTAAACCTCTCTTTGTGGAAGTGTAGTTGGTTGCAAGCTCTAACTTAGTGTTTTAGGGAACTAAGATGTGATATTTAAGTCTCGTCTTGCTCATTTGTGTTTGCGTCAGAGTTTGAGAACCTCCGCTTTAGCCTGGCGCTTCATGAGGTTTGACTTCCTGTATTTTTGCAGCGAGTAGGTTTTGAGACATAGCATTGTGAGCGTGTGAGGGGGCCTAACGTTCCATTGAACTCCAGATCAACACCCGTTCAACAGTAGAAACGGATGGTACGTAGTTTTGTTTTTTTATTTTAATTTCGTCTTAAATTTTGTGTCTTAAATCAGAATTTAGGTTTATGTGGTGTGATTTTTGAAATTCATCAACTGTAGAGTGTACATGACTGAATCTGCATGTAAATTGTTAAAGATTTCATGAAGTGTTACCATGACGGTAATCGTAATGGTGTAAATGGTGTAACCACATGCTATATTCACAAACTCAACCTGCCACATGAGCTTGTTAAAGTACGAGCAACCCGTTAGTATGTAACAATTAGGTGTTTTGTTCTTTCACTGTTGCTAGACCTCAGTTTGCTCTCAGTTCTCATTGTCTTAAAGTTCCTCTGCACTGAATATACTAGAGAGGAATAACCATACAGTATATAAATGTGCTTTTTTTGCGTATGAAAATGTTTTGTGCATCTAAAGCATTATTGCAACATTCTCTGTCCTTTTTGTGCAGATGGCAATGGTGACTAACGGATTTGGGTGTTTACCAGTTCTTGTTTTCCTGCTGACTTTGAGCAGTTCAGTCACGTCAAGACCTCTTAGGATGAAAAGGGAAATTAGTCACAATGTGACATCGATAAACACCAATGACACACAGAGTACAGCAACCGTAGCTGAAGTTGAGAATGCAAGAAGCACCACTGTGGAAACTTTGAAGGCTTCGAGTACGTTACAGACAGTTGAGGTGGAAACTTTAAAACCTGATTTAAAGGTCTCAGCATCTACAGATTACCTTCATACCCCAGATTTGAACCACACCCAACAAAACTACTCTGCAGGAACCGAGAACCTGACAGTTCACCGGCCAACAGATAATGAGAGTACTTTTCACACCCAACTTCCCCAAATAAATATTAGTACTGGACACATTTCACATGCAGGAAGTTCTTCCCCCACATTTCCTGCATCGTTGAAGCCCAGTAAGGTAACGGAGAAGCACATGACAGCAGCGACAAGAAGAATGTCCACAGATGCAAAAGGACAAATTACTGAAGTTACCTCAACAGCCACCAAAAAATCAACCACAGCAATGCCCCACTCATGTTCCACTGCCTCTTCTCAAGGGGACGGACTTGTGAGCCGTTGCCTCATCGCAATCACCTCGATGGCAGCGTTGACAACCATCTTTATCATTAGCACCATCTGCTTGGCTACGAAACTCTCGGGATACAGATACAGGCACAAGGCGCAGCTTCTCCAGGAGACTGAGATGGTCTGCATATCTGCCCTGATGAATGATACCGATCACCCTGTTCCAAAGCCAAGACGACATCCCAAAAGTAATGGAGCATTGATCCCGAATACTGAGGATGGAGATCCTGATGGAGATAATCTCACTCTAAACAGTTTTCTACCTGATACCGAAGGCCCTCTTTAGAAGTTTAAATCTTTCTGTAGCACTGGGAACCAGCGCTTTATTGATGGATCACAGAGTTTTTTACTCTCAAACATTAAGTCAGTGCTCAGGTTTGACACAAACCCAGCTCTTGAATGGTTTGCACTGTCAAAAAAAAATCCACAGTATATCTATGGTGCAGGTTTATCAGTTTTCTAGGGAGTTTCAGTAATCTGAAATAAATTCAGTAATCTGATACCTGGCTTTGAAGTGCCATTTTATGCTTTGTTGTACAATAATGAACATTCCACGTCTTTTATTTAACCAGTGGAACATTTATATTGTAATTGGTTTTTTTTTTGCACGTGTGAAGATGTTGTAATGTTATATTTAATCAGTGTTGAAATATACTACTATGTTCTCTAAGGAGCACAGACATAAGTGAGGTTTGGCAGAATATGGTCTATTCCTGTCTGTGGTTCAGTTAGCGCTATATAATTTACAGAGTGATGTTGGAGATTATCACAGTCTGAATATAACATGTTATCATTGCAAATGTACATAAAATAGATGCTTCCCACATTTGCCCAGAAAGAATTGAGCTTTTGCACAGAAATTACATACTTTCCATTGTGTGAATTAAAAAAAAAAGACCAAAGCCAACCAGATTAACACTGCAAAAACCAATAGGTAGTCAGCAAAGATTTTTTTTCTGTTCACATTTAGTTACTTTTTTATTGTAGTATTTTTGTAGGTACTTTTTTTTTCAGCTATATAATAGGCCTTCTCTATGTAAATTGTATGTGTGTAGGCAACTTCAGTTTGAATGTGTTAAAGTACTTGATGGATGAATGTTGTGCAAAATGACAAAGTCATAGTGCAGTGTTAACCCAGTTATTCTTAACCCAAACTAATTTTATAAATGTTAAATAAATCATTTAATAGAAGTCACTTGTATGTCTTGCATTTTAAAGTCAATGTGAATTGCTGTATGCAACCCATTTTTATTTGTTTAAGTTATATGAGATTCAAACTAAACAAGATTTTTGAAAATCAGCTGAAATTACTTGAAATTATTATACTTGATTATACTTTCCATTCCATTGGGAATAAATTGGATCAGGAAAAAAGTGGGTGTTACTTTACATACCATAATTGAGCCAGACCAAACAAGAATGAAATAATGCTAGCTAATTAACTTTTGGTTAACATTTTCCAATTACTATGTGACATCAGTCGAAAAATTTAAGTAGTTTCTGAAGAATATAAAAAATTGTGAAGATAAGCAGCTTTAGTAGGCTATTTGAAATAACATGCAATGATGAATAGTTAAATTGGTAGATGGGTCAATTTATTTGACCTTTTTGACCAATTAATGGCGGTTCAATCTCTGATGTTAATAAAAAAAATTAACAAGATACAGTAATACAATGTGAAGCTATTTTTACATCCTAATATGTTATTTTGTAACATCTGACTGTCCCTGTCCCATGCATCCATTCGTGTTCTAGAGGAGAGAAAGAGATGGACAGAAAAAGGGAGGAGATGGAGCAAGAGGGGAGGGAAATGTCCTTGTGCAAATATCCTGATTTTTTTTTTAGGAAAACCCACACAGTCAGAAGCTTCCATAAGCCTTTCAGGACAACACAGAGGCAGCTAGTTTTCTTTCACAACTGTATTGGTCTTTATTTATTTTGCCTACCTGTAGCTGGAAGTGTTGGTGTCAAAGTGCATCAGAGAAAGGAAGTAACACCAGCAGTGAGTATTTGAGCATTTCCTTCATTGAGAGAGTATATGTAATGTTTCACTTTCACATTTTATAAATAATTTCTTAGCACACTATACATAGAATAGATGTCAAATACATTTTTTATCCGTTTTACTCAAAAATACTTGTTAAAATTATGAGTTTAATGTTTTCCTGATATAGTGGCCTCAAAAAGTATTTAAGAATGAGTAAATGTCATAAATACAAAACTTCAAATACTGGTATCTGCAAACAAATGTTGCTAAATCTTTTATTAGAACCAACTTCGCTTTTCTATGCTATTTTGCCATTTAACCAACTTATCACATTAACTATAGCCTATATACACTATATATATTTTAAAACAAATCTTGGGTTTATGTTGATATTTTGTGATATGCATTTTAAATGTGAAGTGAGTGTTCACTTTTGTGTCCATTTTCCATTGTCCTTTAAACAAAGTTTGTTGTATTGTCATTTATACTTTTTTTTTTTTTTAATGTAATCTACATATTTTTTGCATTTTTTATTTTATTGTAAAAAATGTCTTTCCTTATTTTATTACATTTTTTGTGGTCCGCACAGAGGATACCACATATTCTATTTAGATTCATCTGGCAGATGCTCCCCGAGTTTGCTCTCTTTTTTTAAGCAACATTCCTGCAACACATTGCTGAGATTATTATCTCCTCTTGTAATTTACTAATACAAAACTGTACAAGTGGAAGTGTAATGCCTTCCGATTAGCAGAGCAGAGAATGTGGTCAGCACTGAGGGGGAAATGTTTTATAAAAATAAGTTTTAAAGAAGTAAAGGCATTTGAAGAGATTACTCTGTTGGATAGTATTCAATTTGTAGGTTACACTGCAAATTCTGATGGTGTTCGTTTGAGAAATTCCCGCCAATCCTAGCCTGCAGCCAAGAGCCAGCTTACAAGTCTAATGGTTAAAGTAGCTTATCCATCCTATACTTTTTAATAAACCACCTCCAGTTATTATATTAAAATTGTTTATGTCTAGCATGAAAGATTTAAAAATAGTCTACCCATAATGCAGAGCCTTGACGATGTATAAACCATATGAATATATATTATGTGTGTTCTTGAGCAGTGCAGAAATAGTCTCACTCTGTGGCCTGTCTCATTGCAGCTGGGCTGTGAATACAGGCCTTGTGAGCTGTGGCTCTCCCACGCCTTGCTGCACCCTCACAAATATATATCTGGCCTTGCTTTTGCTTTTCTGTGGTGAGCGGGTGGCATCAGCTAGGCAGGGAAATTACAAACCAGGCCTGGACTCCCTCTGCCTCCACCCCAAATAAGTAATGACTGGATGTAACAGGAATAGCTCCTCTCCTGCGAGGAAACAGTTTGTAGAGAGTCTACAGTGATGTGTGTGTGATAAAAGCTTCCTTCCTGTGATTCAAAGAAAACCGATAGTACCGATTATACAGATATTAGCTCGGTGTGAGTACGTGACCATCTAGATAACTATTTACTATCACTGAAAGAGGAAAAATGTTCAGTATGTTGCAGGCTACATAAAATAGTGCAAATGACCCTTGCAATACTGTAGAAATTCATTAATCCCCAAATAAGTTAGAGAAAAAAAAAGACAAAATGCCACCATGGCACTGTGATGTAAACAAATAATAATACCATGGTATATTAATATTAGTACTCAAAGTTACTTCAAAAAATACCATGGTACATATAAAAAAATATTAAACAAAAAAATACCATAGTACTTTTTGGATACCTATTTTATTTTTATTTTAGTGCCATTCTGTTTGTGACAAGTTTAGATTTTATTATTATTATTATTGGTGGTGTTTTACTAAAATGTTTTTACTAAAATATAACTTCTTGGTAACACTTTACAGCAAGGTTCCATTTGTTAACATTACTTAACTATATTAATTAACAAAAAGTAACGAAAGATTATTCTAAAGCATTTAGTAATCTTAGTTAATGTTAATTTCAGCATTTACTTCTACAACATTATAATCAAAAGTTATATCTCTTAATATTATTTAATGGACCTGAGCTAAGATGAACTAACAATGAACAGTTGAACGAATGTATTGCTCATTGTTATTTGATGCATTAACTAATGTTAACTAACGAGAACTTGTAAAGTATTACAAACTTCCAAATATGTAAAAAAAAAAAAACCTGCTGTAACCCCCTTCATGAAACATAATGCTCACTTCCTGTTTCTGTTGGGAATGACTAGTAATGGCCACATCTGTGTCCATTTTCTTACAGGTCTTTTGAGGAAGTATGTCACTCTCTCTGCACTTCGTTTTTCTGCTCCTGACTGCTCTTTGGGGCAGCAGTTGCTTCGCCAAGCCCGCCCCATTCAACGTGTCCATGGAGGGTAGTGGGGATGAACCCGAACTCATCTTTCCCATTGCTCGTACCACCCATGTTCCTCCATCTCCCTCGCGACCTCCCAACATAACAGCCACTTTCAACCGCATCAAAGACTTCCTTTTCAACCAGGTGGTGGACTTCCTGAAGGAGAACTTGCTTCTCATCATTGTCGTGACCTCTCTGTTGGTAGTCATCATCTTCATCGTCTGCTGTGCTTCAGCGATGAGCCACAAACGCAAGCTTGAGGCCTACTATCCTCCAAAGACCTACACACCCAGGAAATACATGAGTCAACCTAGTAAAGCTGTTGAGAAACCACATAACCAGATTCAGGATGGCAAGACGACAACTGCAAAGACCCTACGAGAACCCACCAAAGCATTGGTGGGTGAGAAGGAAGGAAAAGACCCCCGGCCAAAGCCGAAAGAGGTCCAAAAGGTGGAGGATGTTGAGGTGGAGGAGATGCAGAAAGATGAGCCCAAGAAGAAAGAGGAGCCTCAGCCTACCACCTCAAATGTCACCTCCAGTCAGCCGCTGGTCTGTTCGTGCCACCTCAGAAAGGCCAATCACACCACAGCGTGAGAGCTTTTTCTGTACCTGCAGGAATGAGCTTGATTCCAAACTTTTTCTACTGTTAGATATAAATCTTTTGGTAGATATCATGCCCTCACTCTCTTTGTGCTCATGTTGCTTTGCAACCTGTGTATGAGGAAGAGTGGAAAAAAATGTTTGTTCAACTCATTTTCTGTTTCTTAAAAAATTTATTTGCTAAATAAGAAAAAACAAAACAGTGAGTTGACAGTTTTATTATTCATATGGAAAATAAACAACACTTGAAATTATTTTGTGAATCAATTTCTACTTTTGAGAGACTTGAGAAAATGTCTTTTGGAACTTTTTCTGACCACTTTCCTTTATTATATTTTGCAAATGAAATGACTATATGCATGGTAACCCATAATTTATGCTGTATTTTCCCAAAGCTGTTATCAGGTGTTGTATATGATGACTGTTATTTTATCTAAACTTTATGACTTTCCTCAGTATTGGATTTAATTAACTAATATTTTGTCAGGTATGTTTAACTGATTTTTGGAAAAATAAAAATAAACTCTCCAAAAATGAACTCTTCTGCTCGGTTCCAAATAAATTCAAAAGTTTGGGGTCTGTATGTTTTGTAAATGTTTTTGAAAGAAGTCTCTTATGCTCACCAAGGCTACATTTATTTGATAAAAAATGCAGTAAAACATAATACTTGTGAAATGTTATTACAAATTAAAATAGCTATTTTCTATTTGAATATATTTAAACATTTAATTTATTCTTTGGGATGCAAAGCTGAATTTTCAGCATCATTATACCAGTCTGCAGTGTCACGTGATCCTTCAGAAATCATTTATTTTGTAACATTCTAAATGTTTATTGTCAATTTAATGCGTCCTTTCTGAATAAAAGTATTAAATTGTTTCAAAACAATAAATTCATGAATAAATAAAATCTTAAAACCCCAAACTGCAGATGAATGTCTTTGCATTTCTGAGAGGGCATAATTTCAGCAGCTATTACTCCAGTCTTCAGTGCTACATGATTCTTTCAGAAATCATTGTAATATGCAGATCTGGTGCTCAAGAAACATTTCTTATCAATGAGAAAAAAAAAAAAAAAAGAAAAAAAAAAAATTTACAAAATATTTTCATGGAACATGATCTTTACTTAATATCTTAATGATTTTTGGCATTAAAAAAATCTATAATTTAGACCCATATAATGTATTGTTGCTATTGTTGGGTCACATATACATACATACATAAAAAAAAAAAGAAAAAAAAAAAAAATATATATATATATATATTCTTTTTTTTTTCAGGGTTGTTTGAATAATAATTTCAAAAGAACGCCATTTATTTCAAATAGAACATTATAAATGTTACCACTTCTTTGTGTTCTCTCTGTTTGTCTTGAATGGTGTGGTTTTGTCAAAAGAATTGTGTTGGTTTGGCTGAAGCATATGAAACTCAAGAACCCTAGCAACAAAGCCCAGCAGAGCGTAACGGCGGAAGCTACAGAGCTTTTGTCACATCCATACAATGTCCAATCAATATTTCAGAAGCTCATTCCAATAGGCTCTCAGAGAGATCTGGAAATATCTGGTCTTAATGGAAATATACTGGTTGCGATAGAACCAGACAATCATTTTTACATTGTGCCAGTATTAACCTTTTTGTGGACAACTTTATAATTCCCATTTTACCGACTGTAGATTATCCAAGTTCATTCAGAAGTTGAATCATAGGTGAATTCCTCCATGCAAGGCATTTTCCCATAAAAACAATCCTCACACCTCTTTAAATATATGCAGCTTTTGTTACAGTGATGTTATCAGCCTATCATTGATTAATAGCCAGCTGAATGCAAATTAGCCTCATAACTGAAAATAAAACCCCACTGCCATGGTGCAAGGCCAAGTGTTGGAAGCGTGTTGTCACCAAAGAGTAGACATCAAAGATATGCAGTGAAGCCTTAATGAGCCAGAAACTTGAGCCTCAAAAAAAGAACCGTAGCTCAAGGTTGAATTCTCCCCTCTTCTGTCTGGGAGGTGCTAAATAATTCTGGAAATACACATTACTTTCACTTCTTTGGGTGAGAGTGACATGAGCTCTCATTACTCCTGAATGATTAGATGCGGACTTGAACATGATTTTGGCTATGGTTAGCATAACTTCAGACGATTCTTCAGACGATCAAATAACATATTCCTTGCAGAGAATGGTTATTAAACATGTTTCCTATCAGAAAACTACTCTACTAACCCAGTGTAGCTGTGTCATGGGAAAAGCAACTGGAGTGCCCAATTAATTTGCATTGCGAAGAAGATACAAAACAGGTAACTCAAAACCTTAAGGCTGCCATTAAAGTTTGATGGGCCGCTACCCAGAATTTTCAGGGTGAGCACGAACCATTCTCTGGAAGGGACATGAGGAAAGAGCGAAGAGGTTAAGCACTTGAAGCAGATAAAGTGAGGGGTCAGCTGAGACGGCAAGAATGGTGAGTACTACATCCCTATGTTTAAGAAACACGTTTGATAACGCGTTAGGAGTTGAGCTCAAGAAGACACACAAGAAAGGAAATACGTCCTGGAGGAGCTGCAGAGTCCATCATGGTAATTAATTTTTTTCAACTGATTCATTTGCGGTAAAAGAGATGCAGTTACTAAATTCTTCTTCCTCTTTCCCTTATCCATCCCTCTCGATCTTTTCCCTCAAGTGAGCCATGCATCCTAGTCTTCTCTGCTGTCTCTTGTTGTATCTCTGTTCGTCTCTCCTTGCTGGCCTGGTTGTGTCCCTCTGCCCCAAAGGCTGCTGCTGTCCCTGTCCTGGTGCTCTGATTCTGTGCAAGTCTCTTGGCCTATATACTTTGCCTCGCTCCGTCCCCCCTAAGCACCAGGCACACCATCCTCTCTGTAGCCTGGAATCGGCTCTGAAATGTGGATAATGTGTTCCAGGCATATTCGGGCCTACAGGAGCTGAGCCTTAGCAACAACCAACTGGTCCGTTTCCCTCGGGGGCTTCCGTCAAGTCTGGAGAGCCTTCAGCTTCAAGAGAACCAGATCACCTACATCGCTGCTGGGTCTCTGAGGCAGCTTGGGAACCTCACACACTTGGATCTGGAGGATAACCGGATACGAGCATTTCAGCCGGGGGCACTGCAAGGTTTGACCAGACTGAGGATGTTGACTTTGAAGGGGAACAAGATTGTCTTGTCTGCCGCCAAATTTACCTTCTTCGTTAATACACCTTGATGTGTCAGCGAACTGCATATCTACTCTAGATCTGTCCTCCTTGGGGGCACTGATGAACCTACAAGTGCTAAAGATTAACAGTAACTGTTTACGCTCTATACCTGAGCAGGCTTTTGATGGATTGTCCCATCTCCGATCAGTGGAGCTAGCCAATAACCTGTGGGTTTGTGAGTGTGACATCTTGTATCTTTATAGGTGGCTTCTAACGGACAGATTACGGATGGCAACGGATCTAGTATGTACAGCTGAGCTCCTTTGCACCTTGCACAGAAGTTGTTATTAACTCTATCGACCATGGCCATCTGCCCAAATTTTTTTATGAAAATATCATCAGTGAATACAATCACAGAATCTGAAAAACTGGTTGAAAGTAATATAGAACAGACTACAAGTGCAGCTATAATGGTTAGACCTGATACTGCTTGCAACACAAGTTCATACAGATGTCGGGAATCTTCAAAACGAACTGAGAGCAAAATATCAAGGTCATTCTTTGGGTCAGACCAGCCCACCTTAGACAGACTGAGCTACGAAGACTGCCTCTCTCTAAATTGTACATCTTTTATACCCTATTCCAGCCAAGTACCCTACAGTCCAGCCACAGATGAGGAACCTGGTTGTGTGGAGAATTTGACAGGTAAGCCACCAGGAGCATCATCCACTGTGGCATCTGCTAGTTCAATGACCCCAACTAGAGATATCAAACTCACTCCTCGGACAATACTACAGTCCAGTGACCCGGCACTCATTGCGATCCTGGCTGTTCTTTGTGTGCCTACAGGCTTGCTGATGCGTAGTGCTTTTGGTACTGAAGAACATCCTACTACGAAACCTGAGCGTTGCACCACTTCCACAAGTTCAGGGAGACATAAGCACACATTCATAACCTGTATTTAAGCAATTGTTTTGCACAGAAAATATGTAGACTAGAGAATAATACAAAACGATGCAACATGAATATTTACAACTTTATTAAGCTTTTGCAACAAATAATACAGCACCAAAGTAAAAAAAATTAGTGCGACTTTTTTTATGCTGCTTCTTACAATCATTGCCAAAACTATAATGATCCCTCTGAAAATCTAAACAAATAGACATTTTTCAACTCCCATACTTTCCTCCTTATAAACTATAGTAGTGTACATTTACAAACATTGCAGTATTAAGCATTTAACATGGAGGACATTTCATGTCAGAGTAAGAGATCTTTAGGAATTCAGAGTTTATTTTAGTGTGTGTGATTCAGAGATACAGGAGAAAACTTTAATCCAAAAGATCCTCACAGTCGGTCAATGCAAGCCACTTCAAACCAGCAATGCAAAGGCAGTGCGAATAGAGTAGTAATGATAGATGCTGGCTAATATGTTTATTATATCCTCAGAAAGCATATACACTACACAATTTTTCTATGAGTCGCAATAAGAGTGGGTGACAGTGACTTGTCTGTGAATAAGGACATTAATTTCGAGCTTCTGCCAATGTCTCCTTGTCGTCCTTCTGTTTGAGCCTGTAGTCTGCTAATGCAGCCTTGATAGCATCCTCTGCAAGCACTGCCAGAAAAAAAAAATCACACAAATAAGATTATGAAATCAGAACATTTGTGCTTTTTTTTATTGCCATCCATGTGTTTGCAATCTCAAACAGCCATTTTGATACACTTACTAGAGCAATGAAGTTTGACTGGTGGTAGACAAAGTTCTTTGGCAATCTCAGTATTTTTTATTTTCAGGGCTTCGTCAATCTGTACATGGAAAAGAGAACATTGAAATGTTGGTAGGAATGCTTGAGAGAACAAATATGGAGCACATTGAGATAATCTGATCACACTGTGAATTCATGCAATGGTCTGAGTCACACTGACTCACAGATTTTCCCTTCACCCACTCTGTGGCCAGTGAGCTGGAAGCAATGGCTGAGCCACAGCCAAATGTTTTGAATCTGGCATCTACTATCTTGCCATTTTCATCCACCTGAATCTGTCAGACAGGTTGACAACAAAACAAAGTTACTGATGTAAATAGAGTGTGTGTGTACATATATACACATACACATATACTGGAATTTAAAAGCAAAAATGTCTTACCTGTAGTTTCATAACATCCCCGCATGCAGGTGCGCCTACCAAACCAGTGCCTACATTTTTGGCATTTTTGTCCAGGGAACCAACATTTCTGGGGTTTTCATAGTGGTCCACCACCTTGAGAGAAAAAAACTATGACATGTAAGACATATAAAAACAAATAACCACATCCTGATCCTATTTAACTTCAAATACATTCATCAAAGTATGCAAAAGAGCACCAAAAGGAAATGTGTCCTTGATAGATAATGATAGTGACCTTAATAACATTACAGATAATTAATCTTTATAAGTAAATCACTTATTTAAATTTGTACGTGTACTTACAAAACTGTCAGCATACAAAAATATAGGTTTATTCACCTGTGGCACAGTTAAGATACTGAAAGACATCACTGATGAGTTTGTAGGACAGTTACACAAGTGGATTATGAAATTAACTGTAAATATGGATTAATGTCATTTTAACTCATAGATCAGCCGATGACATGTGTTTTATACTCAAACAGACTGCGGAAAATACTGTTGGACATGTACAATGTTCCGCCTGTTTTGTTTACATGCGCAGTTATCTAATGTTAGCTTAGCTAGCAACCACGCTGAAAGTTGATCTCAAATAACTACAACTTAATGAATCATGGATCAACTCTCGTGACATGGTCGGCAGTAAGAAAAAAGAGACACGTACCTTTTTATGATAAGAGCAGGCTGATCTGAGCTCTGGTAATGACAAAGATCTACTGAAAATTGCAGAGGGTGCACAGCGCTTGGCTACCGCCGCTAACGCCATGATGCCTGACTACTACTGCATAAACAGGGCTCAACCGGCAGGGGGAGCGCTTTCCCTGCACAGTGCTCACCCCATTATACAAATATATTTTACATTAAAAACTATAAATATTATAGATATGACATTCATATTACATTGTATAGATATTTTCTGCCTTATAATTAATATTTAGCACAGAATATTACACCCGCAACTCAACCGATAGTGGCAGCGAACATTTTTATTATAAACTTGCTGTGCGTCTCTACAATCAATATATGATGCTGTTTTGCTCACAAACGTGCACTCCGACAGTTGGGGCTACTCAACACTTTCAGTGCACACATCATTATACAAAGATAATATACATTAGTCATGTTTAATTAATCACCGCTGTTTTGCCCAAACAAACATTAAGCCCTAGTGGCAGTGAATTAACTGCACTCAGCCAGCAGGGCAATGCTTTCACTGCCTTGCTTAGTTATAATTTATTAGAAATCATATAAATTCCATGTTTGTATAAATATGCATATGTTCTGTATTTGATATTATTGCTGTTTACATGCAACTCATGGAACTAAACCAGCAGGGGGAGCGATTTCCCCGTACACTTTACTGTAGAATGTATATAATATTCAGCATATTTACAATAGTAATCATACCTGTCAACCCTCCCGTTTTTCCCGGGATTCTCCCGTATTTTACCATTCTATCCCGCAATCATCCCGTTTTAATATGTTCCCGTATTTCTCCCGTATTTTTAATCTTTCTATAAAAAAAATCCCACTGGGCGTATTTTATGTTTGCTACATTCGCTTCCGGTAAAACTCCCGTAATTTGTATGGGCCAAACCTAATTTTATATGAATAATCACGACAACAAATTCCAATGTTGTCCAGTTGCCAGATCTTGTATGCAACGCATCTTTCTCACACGATCGACGCATACAAGTTTCAACCCATTTATTCCCTCAACTTGGCAACCTACAGCCCAGTGATCGTTCTGAGGTTAAATACAGATTTAAGAAATAGTTTAATAGCTATGATACTGTGTTTTAAATCAGATCTTTGCATAGCTATGACAGGAAACACCGGCCTCTAACAATCCTTTGGAAAAAACAGTGAGTCTTAAAGTCCGCGTGAACCGGAAGTTGCTGCCGACTTTATTTCAGTGTAGTGACGTATTTCCATCTGCAACGGAATATTGAATAGAGGGCATAGTTTGTGTTTGCGCTGCTCCTCTCTTGTCTCTCACTCATAGCAATCTAACGGTTAGAAGGGTGTGTTTAGAAGGATATTCTGCCCAAGCCGTCAAGCTGACGTCATCAGAGAAGGACTGCCATTCCAGAGCGGAAGTAAATGTTCAGATTTTGATTAAAGATTACGAAGACAAACAATTTTTTTCAGCAGATTAACTTGCACGGATTAATTGTTCACATCAAGACTAGCAATGTGCACTAGTAAAGTAAATAAAGTCAATTTTGATTTCATGCAGACTTAAAAAAAAAAGCATATACACAAACCCAAATAGGAAATAAAACAGTTATCAAATAAGCATGTGTCCTATTCTGTGTCCTAAGCTCCTGAAACATTGGTTTCTCATATTTTAAAGCAGTCAATGCAATTTAGGAAAGAAATCAATCATATCTGTATGTGTGTGCCAATATTCACATGTAATCCCCTTTGTAATCGTTAACATTTTCACAAGTAACTGTAATTTAATTGCACATTTTTTTCTCAGTAACTGTATTAGATTTCATTTATTTTGTAATTAAATTACGTAATTCTGTTACATGTAACTAGTTACTCTTCAACACTGAGTAATATTAAATATTTGACATCTATAATGTATATTATATGTGTATTTTTCGGAATGTCATTGTTATGTTATTACTGCTGCTTTGGACAAAAGCGTGACATTTTTAATGCAGATATTGACAGACTAAGAATGAGAGTTTTCTAAACCACCACAGAAAATTTCGCTGGAAGAGACCACAAGCAAAAATGCCAACAGCGGCCAATGCCTGTAGTTGGGACGCGCCCCCTGTTTTTTTTCCGCGAGCCCCGCCTTCTGGTTTGCACGAGCCCCTGTTTTTCGCGCGAGCTCTTGTGTTGTGTGTGCGCGAGCCCTGCCCCTGTTTCCAGGCAGATAGTAGTCAACATGGCGGCGACGGGTAACGAAGAACAGACGTTGTTGCCAGATATCGAAAAGGAGGCTGAGGGCATGGAGCGAGAGATGGAGTCGGCGGAGGAAGAAGAAGAAGGGATGGGAGTCGAGCATTCCGAGGAGGAAGATGAAGAGGATACGTCTGAGGACGAGCGGGAGAATGAAGCGGAGATCCAGAGGCTGGAGGAACAGGTGAGAGGAATGAATGAGGCTAACGACTGTCCTCACATACGCAGCTCTCAAAACACCGCACGAACGACTCTGCAGGGGAATTTCTCTTCATATATTTGGCAGAGCCCGTTTATTAGAGAGGTCCTACATGCTTAACTTACCAAATACATGGTCAGGGGTAATAAAATTTAGAAATGCGTAACTCTGTTCCTGGGGAATGTGGCTAGCAAAGGCTTAAGCGAGCTAGCGAAGACTTGCGTCTTGATATTTAACCCTCAAACTGCCCTTTCATTTCGCCTTTTTACTTATGTTTTCCACCTAAATACAGTCCCAGCTGTGTTTATGGAGCTTTGTGACCTTGCATGTCAAAATAATTTATGTGAATTATACAATAATAAAGTTTAGTGTTGGTGTGTTTTGATTACGCGTGCTGACGCCATGGAGCTCATGTGGAGCAGCTGTAGGCAACAGAGTTGTCAAGACATTTACATTTAGTCATTTAGCAGACACTTTTATCCAAAGCGACTTACAAATGAGGACAAAGACGCACCTGTTAGTTCCTGTGATGTCTTTAGATTTGAATCATGTTTATAACACATTAGTTTTAGGTTACAGACCACATGCAGTGGCAGTAATGGTCATGTCCACGTGTTTGTTCTGACTCCTTACATTGCTCTGGGCTCTTAGGGTTTGGCCTTCTGTTTTGGAGTGGATGCTGTTTATGTTTTGACAAACTGTATACAGTAGTAGATGAAAACGCCAGTGCGGCACAATAAAGGGACTTTATAAATTTGTAGTACTCCATGTTTCTTTTTGTACTAAGATTATGAGAGCATAAGTAAGTTTTTTTTTTTACTTGAAAGAATGCAACGATGTATCTATTCCAGCTAAAAAAAACATGTTTATTCCAGCCATAGCTGGTTTAAAGGGATAGTTACCCAAAATGAAAATTTTCGTCATCATTTGCTCACCCTCAAATTGTTTCAAACCTGTATGAGTTTCTTTCTTCTGTTAACCAGTTATTAACCAGTTATTAACCAGCCATTGATGTCCATAGTATTGAAAATTACAATGGAAGTCAATGGCTACTGTTACCAGCATTCTAAAAAATATCTTCTTTGTTCAAAAGAAGAAAGAAACTCACATAAGTTTGGAACAATGTCAGGATCAGTAAATGATAACACAATTTTCATTTTTGGGTGAAATATCCCTTTAAGATGGTCTAGCTTGGAAAACCAAGGTTATGGGTTAGATCTTCAGAGAAAGCATGAACTGATCAAATGTATGCCCTGAATGCAGTGTAAGTCCCTTTGGATGAAAGCATCTTGCAAATGCATTAAGGTTGTCTGTGATCTTAATCCCGTGCGAATCGGCCATGTCTGTAATTTGTAAAGTAAAAATTCCCCCGCAAATGACCTACCATATTTCGCCGAACACCCAGGTCCTGTGATAATATTAGTCCCGTGCGAATCGGCATCTCTGTGATTCGGCCAGCATTTGGCGGGTCGCCTATCATTTTTTGAGGTTTTTGTTTGCTGTGCGCCTTTTTATCCATCTTTCGCGAAGAATGGAGCTGCGTTGGAGTGTTTGATAGTATTTTGGCTGCTGTCATCATATCGCTACACCATACAATTTGCAGAAAGAGAAAGCTGAAAAGGTTTTGAGGTTAATGTGTTACAAATAAATCAAGCATAAAGCTTGAGATATTATTTTAACCTGGTGAAATGTAAATGACACAGCGCACGAAAATATATTAATTTCTTTTTTTAAAATCCATCTGGACCATAGAACGGGACTCTCAAAGCCTTGACATCCGGGTATCCAGGAGACAAGTCAGTAAATTCGAGTAAAATCACAGGCTTCGCTTATCCCGTGCGAATGCACCACACGAAATTCAGATGTGGGGGGGGTGATTTCAAAATCACACAAGGTCACCAGATAATACTAATCCCGTGCGAATAGGGCTTTAGACTGGTTTAAGATGTAGTTTTATTCCAGCAAGAGTGACAGCTTTATCTGTGATTCTCCATGATTAATGCACAGGTTTGGTTCAGTCTCTGTGGCTTTGCATGCATTGTATTGTTCAGTTCAGAGCGTTCCTGACAACTAAAGTCACTGATGTTTTCTGTACAACCACAGTCATGCAGCAGCTGTAATGTCAACTAAGTGTGTCCGATCTCTAGACCATCAGCCAGTTTGTGTTCAGCTGCAATACATAAGAAAGCAGAGATTAAAGTTTCACTTGTTCCCTGCAAAATGCAGTGGATCAATTACAAGAAGTCACATTGGTAAGCATTATCTGATTTATTCCAATGTTTTTAGGTCCCACACAGTTTCTCTCTCTGTGGGAAGTGGCGCTGTTCCAGTGTCTCCCACTCTTTCATGCTAGACTACAGTGAATGCTCGCCTTGTCCAGATGAAGCCATCCTCCCATCCAAACGTATAGGTTGTTAAATATTTGGAAAGAATTTGAATTGATGGAGTAATGTAGTTTAGAAGGATTTAGTTCATACCTTGCATACTTCCAGAAGCATTGCAATCATGTGATATTTTGCTTGTATGGTTCATGATTTTGATTTTTCTTCAAACAGTGTAATCTCACATTGATGTATTGATGCTGAATGAGTTTAACATGCTTCCTGATGTTAAACTTTAGTAGGTCAACTTCTATGTCTATGAGATGCTTGGTGAATCAGTTCAGTTGTAATATTTTGTGAATACAAAGTGAATATGATAAAGCTAATGTCAACACCCCATGTGCATTTCTACAGTTGTCAATCAACGTGTTTGACTACAACTGCCATGTTGACCTAATCAAACTCCTGCGGCAAGAAGGGAAGCTTCACAGACTACGCAAGGCCAGGCAGAAGATGAGCGAACTCTTTCCTCTCACTGAAGGTGGGACATCCTTATTTTGTTTCGCTCTTCTGTTCTTTGCTCTCTTTGTGCGTTAGCCGGATTTTCTCTGATATTGCAACAGAGAGTGGTGCATATTATATAATGTAAAAGAACATTAAGTGCTTTTAGAGTCCAGGCTATTTTTTGATTATTTCTTGAGGTTTGAGTACTCCTCAGTCTCCAGGAAAGTTGATCTCCTGGGACAGGACTTTTTGCAGCCCTGCAGGAAAATTTGAATTGTCCTAATGATTCTAATTAATTTACTGGACATGATAATGAGAGTTCTTTATATAGCGCTGGACTGCGCTAATGTGTTTAATATCTAAAGGAGTGCTGAGATCTTATGATGTGGTGATATGGGTATTGTGTGACTCTGTTTGACTGATTTGTTTGGTGGAACAGAGATTTGGCTGGACTGGCTGAAGGATGAAATTCGCCTAACAGAAGATGAATCAGACCGTGAGAAAGTCTACGAGCTGTTCGAGAGGGCTGTCAAGGATTATGTCTGTAAGTGTGGCTTTAATGTATTCCTATTTTTCGATTCTTTGAAACTTAGATTTGGTCAAATTTTTTTTATTGTTTTCTAAATGTAATAATAGATCAAATGTTTGAGCTAACTGTAAAATACTGTTTATATGTATATACAGTGGGTACGGAAAGTATTCAGACCCCCTTCAATTTTTCACTCTTTGTTATATTGCAGCCATT